GGTTAATCTTAACAGCAGATCGTCATTAGTGCCTGACTGCTGAATAACCATATCACCGTTGCGGCTTTTATTCAACGGTTGCCTGCATTCACAGTAAATGTGCCCAACTATGAGCTTAGTTGCAGAAGTACATTTGAAAATAAAAATTGAAGGCAGTACGTTTAGATTACCGCTTATCCTTTCGTGTCACTGAGGAAGACGCATCAGACATTATCTCCAACATTGGTGTACGCCGGTCTGAAGCCGAGTGTGTCGCGACACTTGCCTCAGGTTCTTTTTTGGCCATCCCCTAAGTGTTCTGCCGGTAAACTGCGGAAGTAGTAGCTCTCCTGAAGATCGAGTTACCTTCTGGCTATAATAAAGTCAACTATCAGTGAAACAAGCAGTGGTAGAATTCATTTATTTATTTTCTGGACAGAGTGTATTTGGAGGACTCCTGTCGAAACTGTCGTTAGCCCTCCATTGACGGAAGGCCATTGGACTCCACCAAGATTTTAGTAATTGAAGCTTTTCTGGACGAAGTTTTTGACATGGTTAGTGATGGAAGAACAGCAACAGCTTTCCATCGACGTTCGATATAGCGTCAGCTTTTTTCAGCCTCTACTTCAGCGACGTTCTAATTACATCATGCCGTGAATTCTTCGGAAGGAATGATATCGCCTTGGATTACACATTCACTCGCTGAAAATTAAGAAGATTCTTCAAGAATGTGTCTTGAACAGAAGAATAGTTCAAAATCTGGCAGCTGAAACTTTCTATTTCAGTCTCTCCACCTTTTACAATAGTCGTGATTACCTTGAAGCGTTTCGACGTGCTTTTAAGCAAGGAACAGAACTGTGATATGTGAAAGTTATCTTATACCGGCTGTGAGCTGGAGGCAGCGGTAGAGCAGACGAGGAAGTAAATTCAGACGGCTGAACATTCAAGAGTACGTTTGTACGTCATGGGAGTGTGATAACCACATGTTGTGAACATCGACAGTAGTCTTGTTGTCTACCGTAGAAGATTGCGCCCCACTGTGAATTCAACATCTGTCATTTCCATCTTTCGAATTCTAAAACTAATGCTGCACCTCGTATGATAAGTGGTACCCTCAAACAACAGTGTTTCGTTGACTGATATGATAGCGATCATAGTGCACAATTGCATTATTCGAGACATCGTTACAGCTCGTGAATAGGAATGGATTCAAGCAAATCCTTCCCGTCAGTTGGTAAAGAAATCCACTAATCCGAATGAAATCAGGAAAACCTTGGACATGTTTCTTTGCTGGTAGACAGGAAGCGAAGGTGAAAATCCTCTGGACTGAATCATTTGCTAGATATGACGTTTCAGACGAAACCTTGGTAGAGGTTCCAGACTTCTGTTTATATCGACAGCCGTAAACCAGGTATTGTCCTCCGTTAGTGGCGAGGTGCAAACAGCGGAACACATCATGGACCGCTGTCAGATCTGCATGCACCACAATGCGATAAAGGCGACCTGTTTGGCGACTCCAAATGTAATACGGTAAAAGTGAGGGCTGCTGTCAAAACTAATAAAATATTCGGTGGATGTTGTCATATACGAAGAAGACTGAGTGTTTGCCTGTGAGAAACACCAAAACAGAATTTTTGTCACGGTATAGAAAAGTGATGAAATGTCTACAAGGTTTAATTCCGGATTGAGTCTGGAGGAAAAGCCTAAATGACACTAGACAGACGACATCGTACAGAAGATGCTAGGTGAGGTGATCGGCACCATAACAATCGCGGCATACCGAAAAATATGGCTCAAGATGATACGCTGCCAACCTTCTGAAAGAAAAATTATGGTTGATTATGGAATTTGATTACGATTGTCATTATTAGTCACACGTGATCAATATTAGGACCGCTGCAACAATGAATCCGATTTAAGTATCCTGTGCTCAGTCTGGCTTGCCACCGTGAAGGCCAAGTGAGACTCCATTGCAAATGTTTACAGACGCTCATAGGAACCTCTGTTACTAACCTCAGCATATAGCCCAAACATTGCAGCTCTCTAATGATAGATCATGTCATGGATGGACGGACAGGCTTATAAAAGAAGGAAAAATTTGCTATCAAGCTGTAGGAATAGCACTTTTCAATGAATTTGCACATCTATATCGAATTTTGCTTCGAAATGCTGACACGTTCCACTCCAGCAGAAAGCAGGTATTCCACATGAATGAACATGATACATGCACCTCTGAATCCCAGACATAGTGATTCCTCAGATGCGATATCTGGCACCTTTCATCAGGATCTGCAAAGCTGGAAATGCAGCAAATATGAAAAACCAAAGATGTTCCGCTCATGCTAACGGTTCATTGTGATCATTAAAACAGACATTTTATTCTAATCAGTTCTTTTAATTTTTAATTTGCAATTGTTTCTAGAGCACAAGCGAACAACATCAGTTCATCCTTGACCCGTTTATGAACAAAATCAACTCGATATTTTTGGCATCGACGGTCGCTGAAATTCTAAGCCGTCTCCAGAAAGACAACTCGGATTGGTCACTAAAAACTCTAGAAAACTTATTAAAAATGGTAAAAGCTCAGAGATTTCTTGATTTATTTTACTGAACTACCAAATTTAGTGCCCCACCTCATTGGTTTTAACATTAAAAGCACTACAGCGTGGTAAAAATTTGACGTTTGATAAATGCTTGAAGATGGAATATCGTCTAAGCCGAAGAATGTCTAAAACATTTGACTTCAAGGAGGGTGTCAGAGCGCGTATATTTTTTTAACAATAAAACATCAGTTTTGATGATACTTTTAGTGCTGGTAGATAAAGACCAAAAGCCTCAGTGGACTCCAAAAACTATAGAGGCCGTAAATGAACCTCTAATTGATTCTTACTTTTCAGCCCTAGAAGATAGCGAGGATTTGAATCTCGATGGCTAAATGCATCAGTACGGAATTTTCTAGTTCTTGCTTTAATTTATGCATACCTGTTTTATGTAAGGTAGCTATAACGCTATTTTTTGCCTGTACTGGAATGACGTTAAGTAACAAAGGTTACTTAAAAATCATGCCACTCTGTGCTGACTATATCTGACTGTTTTAACAAAACCAATAAAAACAGTAGTTAACGGATTTCATGATGATGGAGGCGACGAGATGGTTTCAAAGAACTTTAATCCTTATCTCTAAGACATGAATGACTGTTTTGAATTAAATCATTTGTTGGATATTCTCTGGTTTCGGTGTGGAACGCTAAGTCGAGTCGATTAAAAGTTAAGCTGCACTGAATTTTAAAGTCACATCGAAATTATAACTTGCAAAAAAATCAAATATTCGGCGGTGTTCAATACTGTAATTTATAAAAAATAAGTGATGAGCAGTCATTTACTTTATTTCCAGACGAAAATTAAATTAGAAAGGTCACATCATATAACAGTAACAGCATAAACCACGTGTTCGTTATCAGCGTAGGAAACATAACATCAGAGTCAGTTGTGGCTATAACACTGTAAAGATGAACCATACAAAATAACTATACAAACTGATGTCACAGACTGAACCGACTTCTAAGTTTATGCACAAGTGATTTTGGCTCCAACAATTTTTTAGCAAGAGAGTTCAATTTTACCATATTTTTTTCAATGTAGCAAAGCGCATCTTGCTGCATATTTTTCAGTAATTCATCGCTGCAGTCATCCAGAGAATATGGTACAGACATATATGGATTCAATCGATAATAACGACTTGCCGGCAGCAGATCAGAAAGGACGGTATGCACATCTGAAAAATTTTCAAAGTTCGGTAATAGAAAATTGAAGTTGTTACAAAATAAAGTTTCTCTCTATACATCACACAATTTCCAGAAATATAGCAAGAATAAATAAGAGATTTGATCACACTGAAAATGAAAGGATTATAAATAAGACTTTTGGCATCCAATGCATGAAAGGTTAATAAACTATTTCTGTTCTAAAAATTTTCATTGAAAAGTCTAATTAAACAAAAAAGTTTTTCTTTCGCACTAAACATATAATCAGTTCTCAAATCGACTACTACGAAATGTATTTTAACAAATTAAGGTATGACTGATGCTTTGAGACTATATTTGTTTTCAGCCGTGACAAGGGCCCTGTTCAAATGCATAACCAATATCTCTAACCTCTTATCATCTGATCTCTGACTATATGGAGATGTAAATGCTGGACTGAAATTAAGGCTAAAGATTACATAGCTAACATATTTCTGTTCACTTCTATCCAGTCAATCCATAACATCTTGCTTTCATCAGTTGAGTGTTTGCATAATTCGAACCACCTGCATTTACATTTGAAAGAAGGACAGCTTTATGACTAGTATTGCATTTCGACTTAGTGTTCGCTGACAAATTAATGAAAAGTACACTTGCATAGGTAGGAAATGCATTTAAATTTAAGTCATACTTTCCGTTTCCGTAGCACTGTCGATTATCTTTATAACTTTATCGCGAAATGTAAAATTCTCTGCCTCCTTTGGAGTTTGTACCGGCGCGAATGTACCATTACCAATGGAGACGACGCATTGAAAAGGCACATCCAATGACCACAGGGCGCGAGACTCATGGATCCCAATGGCAGTGGGATTGTTAGCGATTATGCCACCATCCTAAATGTTATATTTTCATATAGAAAGTTAAGAGATATATAACAATCAACAATTGTTCGACCTGCTGATTGCTGATTTTTTGCGGTCGAAATATTGTCTATTTACAATTAAAAATCAACCTCATGAACAGCATAGACAGTCCTAAGCTGTTTAATTTAGGATAAATTTAGGAACACATCGTTCCGCCATTGTTGTAACTTCTGTGAATCTTCACTGCTGTATGACAAACATTAAAAGTGTGACCATTTAAGACAATAATTTCTTTACCATGTTTCTAAGATGACAAGCAACAGCTCTTATCGACTGTATCCACTTTGTAAGAAAAGCTTGTAAGAAGTTAAATATGAATACCTGTAAAATATAACCGTTGACCTTGTGATCTTGGAAATATCCTGGGGCAGCGGCACTTGCTTTCAGCGCTTCCCATAAATGAAAGTCGCAACCTCCTGGAAACGCGGAAGCCTTGTGTGACGGATAGCTATAGTTGCGGAATATGAAGGCGCTCAGCTTCGGCTGGTTAACGACACAAGCTATCAATCCAAGCTGTAAAATGACTATTATACACTGCCACATGGTTTATACATTTTATACAAGAAAATAAGAACCACGAAATGTCAACTTTGTTAAAACGACCCTCAAATCTATACACAAAATAGACCAGTGTTTCAAATCAACAAGAAATTGCAGTTTTCTCAGCCCTTAATGTCAAAGAAAAAAAATCAAACTTTAAAACATGAATTGTATTAAACATCGCCTGCTGGAAAAACCATGACGTTTTGCAATATATTCTCTATGTTTCGGATTCAGAATTTATTAGCGCTATATCGGAGGAGACTTGAAGAGAATCTGGCTTCATCCCCCATATATATACAGCGTACAAAGCAAGACAATTATTACGCAATACTTTAAGAAAGCAAGAAGAGAAATGCTATAGCAGAAAATGTAATGAAGGTCGAAGAGAATGCGGTAATCACTGACTTTCTGAACAACTCAATTTCTCGAATTTGGAATGAAGATTCCTCATGTGGCGAAACTCAGAATAGCAGACTGTTAAATCAGAGTGAAGTGGGTGGGCGGTACCTTAAAATATACGTTCAGCGAAGAAGACTGAAGTTACATAAGCAGTATGCGCAATGACCTTAGCCACGAGACCGTATTGCAATCCTCCAGATGTCGTGACTACCTCACTGCATCGTAGAAGAAACACAAAATAATCTCTGATAAATATCCAAATAATACAGCACCTTGCAAATCGTCAGCACGAATCAGAAAATGCAAACATATACGGCGAGGCAACCACAATTGAAGTTAATCCGCTTTCAGGCGACACTTACAACTGTAATGTGCATATATCATCTAAACAAAGCCATGCAGAATTTCAGTAGCTCTAAAACTACCATTAACTGCAACACAAAAGCTGATCCCGGTTGAAGGGTTAAAAAAATTAGATCGCAGACCATACCGCGGTCAAATAAGGATCATAATATTTCGCTCTTTCCATCGATTAGTAATGAATGTAATCAAAAATTAGACTGGAAAGCATCACTCGCAAAGTATGCTACTATCTCTGTCCATCGCTAGTAGGTATTAGTATTACAATGTACCAGCTAACCCTAGCAGTGGCCTCGATTCCTCTTTGGGAGACAGAGGAAGCCAGTTAAACGTTTAAGATACCATAGCATGGCCAAACAAAAACGAGAAGGAAGCGGTCGCGAATTTGTGTCTAACTATACACAGTCAAATAGCAAAGCAGCTATTACTGGAGAAGCCTCGAAGTCCGCTGTTTCTGCTACAAGCAAAGAACACTTGCTAGAAAAGTGAATTAAGTCAGGCAGAACGATTCTAGTCTCGAGCATGAACAAAAATGCTAGTGTCTATAACACAAACATATGTTACCGAGTGACAACCAGTAACATGCCTAGTAAGGCACTTAATGAAGAACAAAACATATTGCTCTAATCAAACAGTTACCGAGTACGAACTGTAAAGACATCAGAGAGCTGCACCGATTTCACAAACTTACTTCATAGTTCAAAGGCGTAACTTCACTTTGTTGCTTTAAAGCAGCCACAATCGAAAAATTGTTCGAAACAACACAATAATTCTTGAAATTAAACTCGTTGAAAAGCAAACACCGATGTTACTATACTC